TTTACGGGCGACGCTATTTTGGTGGCGGCGTGACACTATTTTGAAAAGATTATTTCTTCGATCAATTAATTACTCCCTTCATACCTTGCCGTTCTCCCCAGGGAAGACCCAAAGCAGCTTACGTCATTCTCCTCTTAATCCTCACAACAACCCTGTGTGGTGGGCTAGGCTGATTCGAACCTGGGTCTCCGAGATGCTAGTATGACACTCTTCACCACTACATCACTCTGGCTGTCTACTGGCTTCCTACTGTAGCGGGAATGAAGAATCAGAGAGTCGTTCCAGAAATGAGAGGCAGCTGCTAGGACAAACGTCATGCCTTCCTTCTGGCACGAGCGCGAAACCCATTTTGGGTAATGTCCAATTGTACTAAAATACAACTCATCAGTTAAAATACATTTCCTTGAGTTCAATGGAAGGCAACACTGGGTTGATGTTTGAGGGGGGCCTGGCCTGTGAAGAATTTGGGGAGTCCTTTTTGGGCACAATGAACTCCCGCTTTATGCAGTACAGACAGAGGCTGGGGAAAGAGAAGTGGCTGCTACGAAATTGTTGTGTACATCGCTGAGTTAGTATCCGAGATTGGCTGAGCTTGTTGCTCCGGAACAATAGCTTGCCAGGATTCTGGAGGGGACCAGTGGTATGTAAACAGCCTATCATTGGGATCGGGGTGCGTTTGAGTTTGGTGCTTGCATGCTATTTAAACAGGGCACCAGCCCTGGAGTTTGTCTTGTAGTGTTCCTGAAATCACTTAATAACGTAAAGCTTTTCACTGTAATGCGTCTTGAACCCAGTATTTAATAGAAATAAAACCTGATTCCAGATTATCTTAGTTTCCCTTTCCAATACAGCATCTCTGCAGTTGCTTCTAAATTTTTATTAGAGGCCCCCTGTCTCCTTAACCGCTTTTCACTTCCTTGCCCAGAGGAGTCTGAACGGAGGGGATGGGAAGAAAGGCTAGGGGGTGCATTACAGTTAACTGAACATCACTGAAGTACCCTGAAGTTACTCAGCACCCTACTGGTTTACCACTTCTGCTTTGGGGATGCTCTGGTTAAAGGGGCAGTATTGTTTGTATCCTTGAATAGGCAGATAAATGGAGGGGGAAGCAACCAGGCCCTTACAGAGGTCGAGAGAGGCTCGGGCTACTTCCATTTTTGAGGGCTCCCTAGTAAATTAAAAAATTAAGACGTGCGAAAACAATTATACAAAACTAGTAATATTCTATTTTAAATGTTTACATTTAATATGGTAAGAAAAAGAACACTGTAACACTTGTAATAAACGTTCCTATTTTTATTTAACGTGATTTTCTAGCTTTTTTGGTGCAAATTCACCAATTAAACTGGGGGGGGGGATCTAGTTTTCTTCCGATGCCATCGTTGATGTTAAGCCTAGGAAGGCCTATGCGCTCCTTCTCCCTCTGCTGTTCCGGCTTCTGCCACAGCTTCTGTAGCCACTCTTGTGGGCACCTCTATGGAAACCAGAGCACCGGTTCCCAGAGTGGCCAGTTTTGCCATCTGGGCAGGCGCGCGCAAAATGACGGCTGCCAGGGCTTTTTTTGTAGAAAAAGCCCAGCGGGAACTCATTAGCCTAATAGGCCATACCCAACAGCAGGAACTCATTGGCATATTAGGCCACGCCCATGACAGCACATCTCATTAGCATATTAGGCCACACACCCGTGTTACCAGAAGTGTGCTCATCCAGCCACACCCACCTTATGCTTCTTATTCTGTTTACCTTGTTTGTTGTCCAAACCCAGGGCTTTTTTTGGAGCAGGAACTCCTTTGCATGTTAGGCCGCACACCCCTAATGTAGCCAATCCTAATGAGTTCCTGCTGTTGGGTGTGGCCTATTATGCTAATGAGTTCCTGCTGGGCATGGCCAATTTGGGAGCCAGCCGGAACTCCGTTCCTGTGCGTTCCTGCCCCAAAATAGCCCTGACTGCCATTTTATCTCCCGGTGGCTGGCTGGCCCCGTTATTCCGGGAGGGGAGTGTCCTAGGCTCTGGTGGGAAAAATCCCGCCACAAACAGGAGGTTGGGAAGGCTAGCATTTCTGTGTCGGTAACTATAACCAAACTAAGAGTTAACATCAAAAGTGTAAATTTGAGACCCCCCCAAGAATGTGAGGCCTGGGCCAAATGGCCCTGCTGCCCCCCCCCCCCCTTTCCAAAGCCCTGGAACCACCCCCT